TAGATAGATAGATAGATAGATAGATAGATAGATAGAGAGATAGATAGATAGATAGATATCCCTGTCTCTCTCCCTGTCTGTCTCTTTTTCGTTCGCTGCCCTTCTCTTTTTTCATCTTCCTCTCCCTCTGCCACACTCTCCCCTTCTTGCCCTATGTGTCATTGTCTGCATACCTTCCTGTCAGTGTGGAGTATTTCTTACATCAAATATTCATGATCATTCTGTTTTGAAATAAGCGTGTTGTTAAACTCACAGCTATACAGTTCAACAGTTGGCGCTACGAACACTGCTATACTTCTGTTTCAGAATTCGTCAAAATGATGATGTCCAAGTGACGGAAGTAGTACGCTGTAGACCACATTGTCACGTTCCCTCTACCCACAGACGGCATTTTCAGAAGTATCATAGATTAGAACTCCCGCACCTTGATTTTTTAAAATCTTTGGTTGTAGGAGTTGGGTTGTTGTTGTTGTTTTGGGGTTGTTGGGGGTTGTTTTTTTTGGGGGGGGTGTTTTTGTTTGTTTGTTGATTTCTTTTTGGTTTTCTTTTCGTTTGTTTTTTAAGGGATTTTTTCTTGTTTTTTCTATAGAAAAGTCAGATGTGTTTTAAAGATATTCTTTTTTCTTTCTTTCTTTCTTTCTTTCTTTCTTTCTTTCTTTCTTTCTTTCTTTCTTTTTGTGTGTTGTCCGTCCTCTGCAGGATGCATCCCTCCACCAGTGACTTCCATTCTTTTTGTCTGCTATTCTCCCCATCCTCGTTGTTCCTGTTCACTCTCCGATGTCATCTTGCCACTTTTGTTCTGATCTTCCACTTGATGGTTTTCCAGATTTAAAGGTATTCTTACACAGCATATGTTGATTGTGAAACTTCGAAATATCGCTGTACTTATTATGGAGTACACGAATATTCTTTTTTATCTTTATTTTTGTTTACATCAAGTCCCTGAGCCTATGATTTTGTGGAGGCTTTCGTTTGTTGAATGTTGTTATGTTTTCTTTTGTTTTGCTTGTTTGTCTATCTGTCTGATTTTTGCTCGATAGTTGTCTTCATTCCAGACATCGAGTGGAAAAGTGATGATCCTTTCTTTGTTTAAAGTCCGTTATTTGTTTGCCAATGTTATTTATGAAATACAAAATTGTCTATCTATATTTTGTGTTAGAGTTGATGACTTTGTTTGTGTAACATTGTTTTGAAAACTCTTAGTGTACCAGTTTTATGTAGCATGATTATCAGTGATGTGGTTCCAAATCGAATCATTTATATTAACATCTTTGCATGTCACTGTGTTGTTGTCGTTGTTTCTAATATCATAAAAGTAAAAAAGGAATATTTGGGTAAACACTCATATAATGACCTTATGCAGTTCCAAGCGCCCTAAAACACTTACCAAAACAAAAACAAGCGTGTTTTGCTCAAGGACACACTCAGTTGACACCCAAAATATAGCACTTTCCCCGACGATGCTCGTCATTCTTGAGATTCTTCGTGAACCGGGGTTCTCCAATTACTCCAACACTGCTTACTGTGGCGTCGGTATTCTAGTTAGTGGTCAGGCTACCGGACTCGTAAACGTGAGGTTGTGGGTTATGGGGTTTGAGGCTCCGGCCCGACGATATGTCCCTTGGAAAGACACCATACACGAATTTTCCACACTTCACTCAGGTGTGAATGGGTATCCGGCTATAGATAGCGAAAAGGCTTCTCAGTTTGTCAGTGTTTTGGCGCCTGCAAAATGTTTGCTTTCACTGTATGATTCCCAGGAAGCTGAGATTTTTCGAAATGCTATCAGATCTGCTGGGGTGATAGTATAGGTTGTAAAGCGCACTGAGCATGCTGTTTTGAGCAGGAATTTGCTCTATACCAAAGCTGTTTATTATTGTTAACTTTTAAAAAATCATACATTAATAACCTAACAAGTGAAACAAAAAAAGGGGGGGGGGATATTTGAAAGCCCCCAACGGGAAACTAAATTAGTTGGCTATAGATGGTTAGGCATAAGGATAATGTCGGATTGTCTCCAGCTTCATGAAATCAACTCTTTCTAGACGGTCAACAAAATAACAGAACGGAAGACCTAATTTTTCGTTCATGTTCTTTCTCATAAGGTAGTGTTCAAACAAAGGCCAATTCTTTCTATTGTGTTCAGTGAATCATTTGACAGTATTGCATGGGTCAAAATTGAAAGGAACAAGGCTGTATAATATAATGGCAGGTTCTGATTTATTGGTCGCTAATGTATCGTCGCTGTCGCAAACAATCTACTTAAGGTCAAATCTTGATAATTTTCTATATTTACCCCCCCCCCTCCCCCCCCTCAAAGCTCTATCAAAGATACACCTTTCAACATCATCGACACGAATTTTACTGCTATGGTCAAGGCTTACAATTTCATTTCTTTTCATTGTTCTTGATAAGAACAACACAACAAAATAAAAGTATCCAAACCGGCTTAAGTGCATTTCTTGTCGCAGGGGTGGCATGTAGATAACGCACTCGTCTAAAAGTCTTAACCTGACATGATAATTCAATTCCCTGTGTCCTCATAGGACCTCATGTCATTCCCAAGGCCAGACAGGTTTGTCCAAGATCACCATTGTAGCCCCCCCCCCCCTCCTGAAATAACACAGCGTTTCAACGTGTTCAGCGTGTATTGTTATCTGCCATATTCCGTCTCTATCACCTGTCTGCACGACTTTGTAAAAATGAGAAATAATGAAGTCATGAGTCATGACACAATGCATTTCCTAAGGACACCATAATATTCTATCCGGCAGTGATAGAGGGTGTGTAGTGTAGTAGTAGGCCTAGTGTAGTGGGCAGTGCTCGGCTTTATCCGTAGATTATCTTGGTTTATTCGAAAGTTCACAGATAAAACCCTGGATCGGGCGCTAGGGTGCCTTCAGCAATACACTCGGAATTTCTTGGAAACTTGAGGTTTGAGTACGAACTTTGGTTCCTTCCTGAAGTTGGGGTTTTTTTAGGTTTGTTTTGTTTTGTTTATTTTGTTTTGTTTGTTTGTTCTCTTTCTGTTAGTCCCCTCTTCTACAAGGGGCTTAGCCTACACTACCTTTCTTCGCAAACAGTTGTTTTTTTTGGTCAAGTAGGGTACAACATTTTTTTAATGAACAGAAAAGTGCCAGGGCTGAAATTCCATGTGGGAGGTTGGCGGGTGCTCTGGGATGGTTTTCTTCGTCTTTCCTTTCAAGTATCTATCGTCTTTCTCCTCCTTCTGTTTTTTTTGTGTTTGTTACTCCCTTGTAACACCTCAAATCTTCAGCATTTTTATAATATTATTGTGTTGCAAGTGACGTAAAACACTTACCAAAAAAAAATTCCATGTGGCTAGGAAAAAGCCCCCATGAGCATCTTCACCATTGTAGTGTAGCAAAATCTATATTTAGAGCAAAACTATTTACGACGCCATGCATGAGACATTCCATTAACGACATCGTCAGGCCCAGGACC